GAGTGGCCAGTAGCTGCAGTGAGCGGCCGTCCAGAAGCCGGCGACTGATCTGCCTCGCCCGGGAAGAGCGCAATGATGGTGCCAACTTGGGTCAGTGAAGCAACGTCCTCCACAACTAGACTGAAGAACAAAAGGACAGCAACTGGTCTGTTCCCCTTCCCCAATTCCCCAGTGCTGTTCCCATCCCCCCAATTCCCCAATAAAAGTCTTTAAAAAAATATATATATATATATAATTCAAACAAACAAACAAAAATGAGACTGGTCTAATACTCAGCCAAAAGCCGACTAACTTCAGTAGAAAGAAGTAGCCCCTGTTCCAAAAGGAATTGGACGAAAACCAGCTAGTCTCAAAAGATAACCTGATCCTGAAGAAATCAGGCTGCCATGCTAAATCGAGTACTTGCAGACAAACAAGAGACCGACAAAGAAAACCTTTTAACAAACAAGAAACCTCCCTAAACAGTCCCTGAATAAAGCCCAGAGAGCTTCCAAATGCAAAAAGCAGAAGATAGATTCCAGGTGAAACCTGGCCGTTAGCCCAAATGGCTTAGTGTGGCCTCTGCACCTCGCTGCTCACCTACTCAGATGTTGTCAGGGTGTAGGAAGTTTTGTTTGGCAAAGCAAGATTACCAAGTAGCATGGTTATTTTTCAACTTTTTAATTATTTGTTGTTTCCATATCTGCTTTTTATTTCTTATTACCCTTTTCTTTACCAAATATATTTCATTAATCATTCTGAAAACTTGTGAAAACACTTGACTTACTTTTATTCAGTTGGAAATACTTCAGACTTTGGAAACTGCCAGGATTTAAAATTGGAGACCGAATTTATTTCTATTGGAAAGAGTTCCATGAAAGAACTAGGACATTTCCAGAGGACGTTGATCTAATACTGATTGTAACTCCCAGGAAGGGGTTCCAGATCAACTTTAAAAGCACTTACAGCTTTTAAACACTTCCACACTTGTATCATTTTCTCTGACCTTTCATTATTGTGTACAGATTGAGACTGAACTATCGGACTGTATTTCTCTCTGATGCTTTTTAGTCTAAAACTTTAGGGACTTATTTACCTTGGACAACAAATGTGAAATCTTATAGAGTTCCTTAAATGCTTCCTGCCAATCCTAAGCACTTATCATTCCATGCACCTTTGCTGTCTTGTATATG